CATCCCTCAACAGGCCCCAGTGTATGATGTTCCCCTCCCTGTGTCCATGTGTTCTCATTGTTCAACTCCCGTTTATGAGTGAGAACATGCAGTGTTTGGTTTTCTGTTCTTGTGTCAGTTTGCTGAGAATGATGGTTTCCAGCTTCAGGAATATATTATGAGCTAAGGTCTATATCCTAATAGAAGTCCTCTATTTGATGATTATTATATAGGGCAATTGACGCTGGCCTAAGAGTCATAGCCAGTAGGAATGGTAGCTTCTTGACAAATCAGAGTACACGGATGTGTTCCAGAAACACAAAAAAGTTTAAGAAAATGATATTGCTCTTGAAGGAACTAAACGGACTCTTGCCTTTTGTATTTTAATGTAAAGGAAAATATTAAAATGAATGAATGACATCACTGCTGAAAGTAAAACATTTTCCTGAATACAGATGACATATTATTGTCATGAACTGGAGGTGTGTCTTATTAGACATTTAGATCTGCTATGTGAAATTTCCTGGTTATAGAGCATCTTAGAGTCACAAAGCCCCAAGTTGAATCCTGGCAGTGCCGTCTACTCACTTTTATGAGAAATAAAATGGACCTAATAACTACCTTATATAACTGTTACAAGATTACAACAAAATAATGTAAAATAATGCTTAGCATGGTGTTTGGGTCAATACATGTGAATATAACACTGTTAAAATTGAGTTTTTGATTGAGGTTGTGAAGACACAATAGAAGTAAAATTTCTAAGTCAGATCTCCATACTCACAGTTGACAAGGGAATCAGTCAAAGATAGGTATGGCTGCTCTTGGATCTCTCAGCTTGTTAATAATTTAGAAAGGATACATGGAGTGGAATGGAGGAAGAATTTTCTGATGGCATTTTGCTTTTGAAGAAAGCTGTTGGCACACTATGGGACCCCCTTTATTCCTGGGCTAATGAATGAGACCCCAAGCCTAATGAGAGGGCGCTTCAGGAAGACCACTCTGAGGGCTAACTCTCCATCCTCTGCAGTTAGAAGGATAGAACACAGCTGCCTGACTCAGGTTGAGAAGGCTAAAGCATCCTGTGGAAGTAGGATAAAGGTGACTTAGGGCACTAGCCTCTGTCTCCTCCTGGTAATTGTCAAGGCAAGGGATGTGTAAACATTATCTTAGGACCATAAGTGGGTCTCCTAATGAGCAAAAGTGCCACAGCACTGTAGATGGACGGTCTGGAGGAGTTCTGGGTTTTGCCCAAGAAAGCTTCTGCTGGAGGATAAGAGGAGACCTGTATGGGAGAATGTAGTGGGAGAACTGCCCAGGAAACAGAAGCTGAGAGGTGACTGGGTGCAGGCATCCTAGAAATGTCTGTGTCTTAGCAACTGCAGTGAGGGTTCCTTTAGAGATGGGGAAGCCCCAAAGGGCCTGCATGAGTGTCCCAGAGAGGAGTCAGCTTGAGTTTCTGCCAGCAGGCTCAGAGTGGGAAGTCGACTGAGTGTGGCCTTCTCATCTTGACTCCCTCTTCTCTTTGCTCTTAGCCTGAATGCTCAGAACCCAGCTGGGAAGGAAAAGTGGGGAAGCAGCTATAGTAGAGAAACAGAGAGGAAGCCGCCCATACCATGTTTCCACTGCTGCCTTTTGGCCTGAAACGGGCCTGAGCTGGGGAAGGAGAGAAGATTTGACACCTGATCACGTAGCAGTAGAGTATTTTGGTTATCATCTGGGACTGGGCATCTAGGCTTGAATTGAGACTGTGTTTGTGATTTTAAGTGGAAATAAGACTGTCTAATACCTAAAAGTGGGCAGAAAAACTTTGCTGGAGCTTTCATCTAGGGACAGGGGAGTGTTATTCTCACAGACTACAAATTAAAGACCACTGGGAAGAACATGAAAAGTGTATGCTTTAATTATTCGTTGCACTTGTCTGCTGTATTGGTTGCATTACTGTGGTTGATGCTGTGTTAGGAAGGCCAGGCGCGGTGGCTCACGCCTGTAATCCCAGCACTTTGGGAGGCCGAGGCGGGTGGATCACGAAGTCAGGAAATCGAGACCATCCTGGCTAACACGGTGAAACCCTGTCTCTACTAAAAATACAAAAAATTACCCAGGTGTGTGGCGGGCGTCTGTAGTCCCAGCTACTCAGGAGGCTGAGGCAGGAGAATGGCGTGAACGCAGGAGGCGGAGCTTGCAGTGAGCCCAGATTGTGCCAGTGCACTCCAGCCTGGGCGGCAGAGCGAGACTCTGTCTCAAAAAAAAAAAAAAAAAAAGAAAGGTTACCTTCATATTCAGTGTTGTACACCTAAAGTCTTGATTTTTGTTTGATATTTCTCTGCATGTTTCTGGCTTATAGCAAATACTACTATACTGCAAGTCAACTCAGTTATTTAGGAGGGCATTTTGTAGCCAGGTTTCTCACAGTCCTTACTAGAAAACTTATTTGCTTAAAGTTAATATTCTATGTGTATGTTACTGAATATTTTTATATCCAAGGTGAAAATTAGGTAACATTTACTTTGATTACCTTCTATAATTAAATAATGCAGCATGAACCATAATATAGCAGTTTGGAGACTTGATGTCCCATTTGCTCATAAACAGAAGTAAAACACCGATATTTTAAAAGTATTATTTTAAATTGAAGTGTGATACACATAATAAAAATGCACAATTGATAAGAGTTTAGTTTGGTGAGTACAAAGTGAATACACCCAGGTAACCAGCACCAAGTTAAGAAACAGAATAAGATTAACATCCCAGTCACTGACCCCTCATATCAATAGTGTTGCTTATTTTTGTTATTTATTTATTTATTTATTTATTTATTTATTTATTTTAGAGACAGTCTTGTTCTGTTGACCAGGCTGGACTGGAGTATAGTGGCGCAATCATTCCTAACCCACTGCAGCCTTGACCTTCTGGGCTGAAATGATCCTCCTGCCTCAGCCTCCCAAGTAGCTGTGACTACAGGCGTGTGCCACCAATAGTGGTTAATTTAAAAACAATTATTTTTATTATTATTTTTTGTTGAGACAGGGTCTGCCACCATTGCCTAGAGTGACCTTGCACTCCTGGCCTCAAGCAATTCTTCCGTCTCAACCTCCCAAAATACTGTAACTAAAGGTGTGAGACACCACGGAGCCCAGCTCAGCCTTGCTTTTTATTAATGAGATTGTATATTTGAATTTGCGAGATTCATTCATATTGTTGTGTGTAGCTGCAGTTGTTGTTTATTTACAAGTCTGCATTCAACCAGATGACAATATTTTAGCTAATTCAATTGTTTATTAGTTGATAGACATTTGGATAGTTCTATTTGTTGGTTGATGGACATTTGGATTGTTTCCAGGTTTAGACCCTTACAAATTAGGCAACTAAAAACATTGTTAAACACATGTTTTGGTGAATATATTGTGCACTTTTGTTATTTATGCTTAGGAGTGGAATTACTGTATTACATGTATGACTATGTTCAACTCTAGTAGATAAGGAAAAAGTTTTCCAGAGTGGTGGTAAAAATTACTCTTCCATCAACTGTGTGTGGGAAGTCACTCCACTTCCTTGTTAATACTGTCTTTTTTCATTTTAGCTTTTCTGGTATGTGTCAGTTCCTTTTTTTGAAAAAAAAAAAAAAATTTGTCCTAGCTATTGGCATGCCCTCAGTAAATCTCCATATGGGAAGTGGGATGTCTTCTTTCCTTTCATAAGACCATTGCACCAGCCTGACTACTCACTGAAGCATGAAGTTCTATATTTAGCAAGGAATGCAGAATAACATTCTGGTGGTAAATGCTGCCCAATATTTATCAATAACTTTGCTAAGTGAAAGCATAGGTATAAAGTGCGTTAGTCAATATTTTGAATGTAAGTGCAGAAATCCCTATTCAAAATAGTTTCACCAAAAAGGTAGTTAATTGACTCTTGTAGCTGAAAAGCCAGGCTTGACTGGCTCCTGGGATTAAGCTTCACTTTCCAAATCAAGACTGCCTCCCACTAGGCTGCTTCTCTTCTAAGGCAAGCTTGCTTCCTGCCTAGAGGCCAGGATTCTGCCAATAGCTCCAAACTCCCATCAGTAAACCAAAACCAAAATAGCAGCCACAGCAACAAAACTCTTCCTGTCTTTCTGGAACTATCAAGTCCTGGAATTGGGGTTCCTTGGCTCTTATTGCACTAATTATATCTTTTTTGGCTCCAGGTGGCTATCAGGTCCCTCTGGACCGCATGCTTTTAGAGAAGCAACAATTCTCTGAGGAAAATTGGGGGTGCTGTTAACAGAAGAAGGGTCAATAGTAGGTGGGCGACAAGAGTAACAAAATAACCACTGCAAGTCAGACTAGGTAAATATAACACAGTCTAGTTATTCCTGTAGATCCTACGGGACTCACCCTTGGATTAAGCAATACTGCTGGAACATTGCATATGTGGATTGCATCATTTTAGGCTCTGTGAATTGCTTTTATTGAACTGTGTTAGGACATTCTGTTACCAGACTGCATTGAGGTACAATATAATGAACAGTCCTGAGGAATTCCATGCATTATTGTAAGACGGTATTGAGCACACTGTTTATTTCCATTGCCACATTATAGGATTTCATGGGAGAAATTTCTCCCTGGTCTCTACACCAGGAAGAGTCAAACTGTTCCTAAAAACCTTTCATGATTTTATCTTATGGATACTGTGATTCCTCAAAATGGTAGGGTTTCCTTCTTTGCATTGCTAGAGTGACAGAGTCAATTTTATGGCTTGTTTTAATCAAGTATGCTAGGCTTTGAAGCATGGATTCTTTTAGTGCTAGCCTCACCCCTTTATTTTTATATTTCCTTCAGTATTATTTCCAGTTCTCACACTCTCTCTTTGTTCTATATTCTTTGGAAACTTTCTCAAATCTTTTCTGAGACGAAATTGAGAAATACGTATAATTTTATGTATATTTCATTTTATGCATTGAAAATGTCACCACAAAGTAAATAAATCTGCTTGGCTTTAGCAAGAAGTTTATTAACAGGAATTATTTTGGGTTCCAGTTTTAGATGGAGGAGTTGTAAAACACTACAGAATTAAAAGACTGGATGAAGGGGGCTTTTTTCTCACCCGGAGAAGAACCTTTTCAACACTGAACGAATTTGTGAGCCACTACACCAAGACGAGTGACGGCCTGTGTGTCAAGCTGGGGAAACCATGCTTAAAGGTGAAAATGCTTTCAAGCTGTGTTTGCTTATTGAAGTTAACTTTTTTCCTTCAGCTATCTGAGTATTTTTCATGGAATATCAGTTCAGGAAAAAAATTGTCATTTTATTACCTGAGGCAGGTATAGGTAAACCATGGCCCATGAGCTCACACTGACGTATGCTTGTTTTTGTAAATAAGTTTTATTTGCTCAGATGCTCATTCATATATGAGTTTTCTTTGGATTCTTTTGTGCCATAACAGCAGAGTTTAGAAGCTGCCACAGAGACCATAGGGCAGGTGGTAAACTAGAATATGAGTTCTTGGAGGGCAGGGGTCTTGCTTGTTTTGTTTATAGAAAAGCACCTAGTCAATGCTTAAAACAATTTTACTTACTAAATGAATGAGTAAATAAATGAATGAACAAATAAAGAAATGAAAAAATGAGTTTGAGGGCCGGGCGCGGTGGCTCAAGCCTGTAATCCCAGCACTTTGGGAGGCCGAGATGGGCGGATCACGAGGTCAGGAGATCGAGACCATCCTGGCTAACACGGTGAAACCCCGTCTCTACTAAAAAAAATACAAAAATTAGCCGGGCGCGGTGGCGGGCGCCTGTAGTCCCAGCTACTCAGGAGGCTGAGGCAGGAGAATGGCGTGAACCCGGGAGGCAGAGCTTGCAGTGAGCTGAGATCCGGCCACTGCACTCCAGCCTGGGGGACAGAGCGAGACTCCATCTCAAAAAAAAAAGAAAAAAAAAAAGAAAACATGAGTTTGAAAAATATAAAACATTTAATTATGCAAAATAGATGATACATATAATAAAACTATAGCCAAAGAGTTTGGGAAGGATTTGTGGGTGAGATGGAACTTCACCTGGGCCTTGAAACTGAGAGGATTTAGCTAGGTGAAGAGGTACAGAGAAGTCATTCCAGACCTGAGTGAGGATGGCATTAGGTATGGGATCAGACAGGTTGACAAGAAGGTGCCTGACTTCCCAAGATTTGGAAGATCAATTTGAAGAGTTAACAGTGCAGATTCTCCCACCATACTTTTTGTTTTTGAAGCAATAATAATACAGTTTACAATATTTTGTTTTAAAAAATGTTTTATTTAAAAGTACCTAGACTATTATTTTCAACAAAATAATATTAAATATACCCCCCCCCTTTTTTTTTTTAACAATTGCTCTTATTATTCTATGAAACAGATCCAGGTCCCAGCTCCATTTGATTTGTCATATAAAACCGTGGACCAGTGGGAGATAGACCGCAACTCCATACAGCTTCTGAAGCGATTGGGATCTGGTCAGTTCGGCGAAGTATGGGAAGGTCTGTGGAACAATACCACACCAGTAGCAGTGAAAACATTAAAACCAGGTGCGAGAACAATAAGGTTAAATGGCATATGTTGATTTTTATGAGTTCAATTTAGCACCGTAAATATCTAAGAGGTCATGGGGTGGCTAATAGTGGCAGCAAGCAGGTGTTGTGGTCATTCTCTCTAGCCCAGGTGATCCAAACCTATGGATAAGGCATTAAAATATAAAAACAAGAGCACACTTCCTGGCTCAACTGAGTCTTAAAATATCGCTGATTGAAGAGTCTAACAACTCATCTCTTCTCTGGAGTTAGGATTCAGTCTTCCAATGTCCTTCTTCCAATTTTGTTCTTAGCCTTAGTTAACAGATACTGACTTAACTGAAAATATTTAAAAAATCAGAAGGAATCTTGATACTATTCAGGAAACAACTATTTCTAAAAGTATTACTTTTCTATGGTTCAAAGGCAAAATGGTCCATCTAAAGAAACTTGTATTTGAAAATGTAGGAATTTTTTTTTCCCTTCCATCTTCCTTTTTCCTGTGATGGCAAGTAAAATTATACTGAAATCAGTATTTATTCAGCCAGGCTTTATTCCCTCTATTTAAAACAGAGACTAAGTAACTTCCCAAATACTTTCTAGTTATGTGATCTTGAGCAAAGTTTTGAACTCTATGCTTTAGTTTTGTCATTTGTGAAACAGAAGTAATAATAAGGTCACCCAAGAAGATAAATTAGGTCATTAGTGGAAATGCTTTGTATAGTACCTGGTTTATAGTAAGTGATGGATAAAAACTATTATTATAATAATGAAAAAGTCAGTAAATGGCATAGCTGGGATTTGAACCCACATCTATTACTATTGCATCACACCCCATGGAAGTGACAGTCTATAAAAGTGCAACATTGCTGTAGTAACCTCATACGTACCTTTATAACAGAGGTAAGAATAATCAACATAGGCTAGATTGTAGTTTTCTGGGAGACCTGCATTATTTACCTAGCCCAGAATTCTTAGAGGTTTGGTAATTCTTAGAGGTCTGGTGGCAGAACTTGAGCACTTGGGATTTGATTGCTGGCAGAATAGGGTAACACTATGGTTCCCAAACTGTGTGCCAAGGCTCTTGGGGGCACCACGGTGAATTCACAGGAGTGCTGTGGAATACTTAAACGTTTTGAAGTTAACATTCCTGAATATTGTACAAGCTGCTACCTTTAAGTAGTTCATGGTTTCAACTTTAAAACAACATTCGTTTTGTTGACATTGTATCTTTGTAAAGCTGGGTTTTTGATGGTTGCTATGGTCAAATGCAAAATCCACACAAAAATCAATACGGACCAGAAAATGGGGGTAGCAGTGCTCCGTCCGATTCTAAGATTGGAGAAGTTGTGCAGTGTCCCAGGAATGCATATATCACTTTAGTAAGCACTTGTAGTTAAGAATTAAATGAAAAATTGTCTTTTCCTTTCAATTTACCTGTGTTACTTTTTCAAATGGCTATTACATTGTTAGGATAAATACTTCTTAACTTGTTTGGATCTAACCCAGTAATCAAAAGAACTGTTAGTTTTTTTTTGTTTTTTTTGTTTTTTGTTTTTTCACGTAGAGACATCATGAAAAAAGTTATAGAGACACTAAGGGTTCCATGAACTGAAAATGTTGGGATCCTCTGGTGTAACAAGTTAACAGTGTCAAATTTGATATAACATAAATCTGCGTTTAAACTTGGCTCTGCCCTCTGTGACTTTGGACAATTTTTTAACTTTTTGGAATCTTCTCGTCTGGAAGTGGGAAGCATAATAGTTCCTACTTTCTAAGATTTTATGAGGACAAATGGAGCCAATGTACGTAAAGTATATGCAGCAAGTTCTTAATAAATGTTAGCCTCCATGGGGCTGCTGACAGTTGTGTCCACTGAAGTGCAAACTTACTAGTGCAGGAATTCAGTTTCAGCATTTTCATCTGCCAGATGAAACAAGAGACAGACACTTTTAAGTGGCCAGGTGCTATATGAGTGCTCCAGGTGAGGACATTCTATTCTAGCACCTGAGATTTTCACAATCACTATGTGTATATGCTTTTAAACCCTAATCTTGTTAATAAATGGTGGCTAAACTTTATTGTCCAACCTAATAATTCTTTTCTAAGAAGAGGCAGCTAGCTAGTCTTCCTAACACTGTTCTCTAAGGAAGCCCTTTGGGAAGTCAAAAGACAACAAAAAAGTCAGATTTCTCATATTAAAAAAAAAAAAAAAACAATAGCTTTCTTTCTAACAGGAATAATTATTATTGATTTACAGTGTAATAGCCACAAACAGCTTTTGTGATTGGTTAAATGTCTTCACTTCACTGGGGCCATTAATCAATCTTAGCAGCTATTTATTGCTTAGCAGGCTACTATGCAATAAAGATGAGCCTGAAATGAACTCCTACAGTAGCTTTGACAGGAAAAAATTAATATTTAATGTTACATTACTAGCTAAGTTGAGATTGAGCTTCCTTTACTCTGCAGCTGTTGAGCTATAACCAGCGTGGCCATGAAGGAGTGCTGTGAAACAGTCTTCACCTGAAGAGGCTTCTGACCTACTGTGATTTCAGTTCTTGTGCATGTTCTGATTTGGGAATGAGTTTGAGTGTCCTACATTGCTTGAATCTGATGGCCACACAACATAGAAATTTCAGTAACATAAATATATATTGTATATATAATTTTCTTTTTCTTTTTTTTTCCTTTTCTTTTCTTTTTTTTCCCCAGGCTGGAGTGCAATGACATGATCTCAGCTCACTGTAACCTCCACCTCCTGGGTTCAAGTGATTCTTCTGCCTTCAAGTGATTCTCCTGCCTCAGCCTCCCGAGTAACTGGGATTATAGGCACCTGACACTACGTGTGGCTAATTTTTGTATTTTTAGTAGAGACATGGTTTCACCATGTTGGCCAGGCTAGTCTCTTAACTCCAGACCTCAAGTGATCTGCCTGCTTTGGCATCCCAAAGTTCTGGGATCACAGACATGAGCCACTGCACCCATCCTCATTTTCTGTATGGTGATCATAATTGCTGTTATCACTGGAAGCTTATATTTTTTGGGTGGTAGTGGGGGGAATCCCCACTGTGTTGATATTTGACCATAGGCCAAACTAGTTGTAACAATCAAGAACAAAGTCCTTTATTATGGTTTAGGTGTCTCTTATTCTCAGCTCCATTTTGTGACTATGATTCCAAATTTTAATCCTATTTGACTGTGTGGAGTAAACCAGTGGTAGAGATGGAATTGATGGAGCTCAGAAACATGTAACGGAAAAGAGAATCGGCCATTTTCTCCTATTCTCTCTAAGTCCTTGTCCCTTTTCTTCCTTAGCCTGTGAAATATACTTACAGCTGGTCTGTTTGTTTTTTCCAAGACTATGCATTATCAGTGATAATATAAATAATGATCAACAGTCACTGAATACATACGTGCAGGCATTGCTATTATCTTGTTAATGATCTTATAATGTCAGTAAAGTTATTAGCCATGTTTTACAGATGAAGAAACTGAAGTTTAGAGAGGTTTGATAACTTGCTCAAGATCACACAGAGCGCTAGTGGCAGAGAGCTGAGATTTGTCTAGAATGCAGAGTCTGATCAGTCCAGTTCTGAACTTCTGGGTTCTCAAAGAGGAGACTGCTCAAATGTTTTATGTGAAATGATGTGCAGGTCACATGTAACTAACTCAACTTCACATTAATAAACAAGTCACAGTGTTGTCTTAGAATGTCAAAACTTATCCATGCCTGGGTTTAAATATCAGTTATAAAGTCTTCAACATCGAGAGGATGATGAATGTAGTAGTCTCTTGGAGCATCAATGGAAACTATGTTTGCATTATTCATAGTGAATACTAAGATGTGAAATGACAGTATTCCTTTAATTACAGTAATGCCTCTGAAACATCATATTCTAAAAGAAAATATTTTAAAATTACTGGTGAAATGTAAACTCCAGATAATCTTCCTCCTCTTAGATTTTATTTGTTGGCAACTACTTGACACCTTGCATGGTGAGTCAGAGTGGAGCCATTAAAATATGATTTAATTGCAGACAAGTCTTCTAAATAGGCCTTAATATTGTCTCTCCTCCAATAGCCATGCTATTAAGGCTCTGACTGTGGAAGCAGATAGTACAGGAGAAAATATTAAATATCAGTTTCAAGTTGAACATATAAAACAGGTGAAAAAAATCCCATTAACTTTTGGGGATGGTCTTGGATGTTTTCCACTTGGCCTACACACTATATTCCTACAGAATTAAAGATAAAATTATGGCAGAATGTCACTGTTTTAGGATTTTTTCCAGCTGTTCCCACAGTGGGCACCAAGGACAGGGCAGCTATCAGACTCTGGCTGCAGTAATTAAATATTCAGTGACCTTCAGTGCTCATGTTAATAGAATGTTTTCCTTTTGTGTTAAGATGCCTTGTTTTATCAGTTAGATTATCAGTCTCTCCTTTTTCCTTCATTTTTCATGTAGACCTGAATCTACCTCTCTTCACCTACAGTCATAACATATAAACTATAAACTCCTGATGCACCAACACATCCAGTTATTAGGTTGCTCTGGCTGAACTGATTTTCCTCTTGATAACTCTGAAGATTTGTGACACTGATGCTCTTACTCTACTGAGAAGCAGGAGGCAATCTTGATGATTCCCACCAGGCTGCTGTGAGGATAGGAATGCCTCAATAACATAAAGTGATTTCTGCCTCTTCTTGTTTCAGGTTCAATGGATCCACGTGACTTCCTGAGGGAGGCACAGATAATGAAGAACCTAAGACATCCAAAGCTTATCCAGCTTTATGCTGTTTGCACTTTAGAAGATCCAATTTATATTATTACAGAGTTGATGAGACATGGAAGTCTGCAAGAATATCTCCAAAGTAAGCAAAGACTTAATAAAAGAAAAAAAAAGAAAAAGAGGAATTTAGTTTAGCTAGTCCTATAAATGTCAATTTAGGAAGCCTTCTGTAACCCAAAGGATGTTTACTATGTGTATGTCTGTGAGAATGAATGTCTTAACATTGAATGGCTCAGCTACTGTTTAATAGGTTATATATTGTATACTCAAAAGGTGGAAAATACTTATGCAGTGGAAGAGAAAATTTTTCACAACAGATATATTAGAGTAATTGAATGTAACGTGGGAAATTAAAGAATGGATGTTTGGCATGATGCTTTCTTTCTTATACTAATTGAACATTATCAGTTATGGACCAATATTTTCTATGGCACAGAATTTGGGGACATGGAATACATTTGGGGCAAAAGGGAGGGAAGTATCCTATGTTTATTTTCTTTGCCAGTAGTTGACAACATTGTACTTGTTGCTGTTTAAAATACTTCCACTGCTAGGCAACATAAGAATTGTCAGGCAAAAAAGCAGCAATATACTATTGCTTTATTTCTCTATTTGTTTCCTGTAGTCAGAGAAGACTGAAGGGCATTGTGAAATTTTGATTTTATTACAAATGGATAATTTAGTAAACAACAATACAGTATAATGAGCATTAAAATGAGATGTTCAAAGAAGGTGAAATCAAGTACTGACAGAATAATTCAAGCTTGAAAAGGAGACTTCTATAATTTCTTGAAATGTCAGGATGGGAATGATAGAATGTATAGAGGTAAAGGGAGGTGAGAATGATGAAACAAAAATTTCAGAAACATAAGAATATCCTCTGATTTCAGGATGCCTTGTGAAGCTGGTAACATTAAACTACAAAACAAGATAAGAACAACAAAGAACATAATAAGGCCTGTTGAATGCCATTAAAAACAGAAATATACTCAGCTTCATTGCAAAAAAATACTGAATTTAACAGCATCAGAATATGTTACCCACCATAGAAGGATTAAACTCAGGATTAAATAACCCCTTTTGCCTTATTCCCAGGAGGACAAAGTGCAAACGTCATCTTGGGTCATATCTAGCAAAAAATGCTTTATAAAGGTCCCTAACAGTATTCACATAATTACATCTAATGGCCTATTCCCCATCCTCAGATCTACTGACAGCATTTAATTCAATAGACGCTTTCTCCTCTTGGAAACCTTTCCTTCATTTGGCTTTCAGGACACTTCACTCAATGGCATTTCCTCCTTCCTTTCTTGGTGATTCTTTTCAACCTATGTGATTTCCTTCATTCCCAGACCTCTCAGTATCTTGGAGTTCTCCAAGACTGTTCACAACATCACTAGTTCCCTTATTAATTTCATCTAACCTCATTGTTTAATTTTTTTGTGTCCTGACAATTCTCCAAATTTTATTCCCCCTTTACTTGAGAATCATACCCAACTGCCTTCTTAACTTCTCCACTTGAATATTGTATCAGTCTGCATAATGTAAATATGCTGCAATAACTAACAGTCTCCAAATCCCCAAGGGCTTAACACACATATTTATTTCTTATCCATGCTACGTTGCAAAATATGTTGGCTGGTGGCTCAGTTCTTTTGATCACCCTGGCAGAGAAAGGGGATGAGACTAATCTCACCCTGATTCTTAAAGCTTCTGACCAGTAGTGACAAAGATAATTCTGTTCCCTTTCCATTTGAACAAATCAAGTCAAAGAGGGTAGGGAAGTACAATTCTGTAAAGTGCTTGAAAGGATGAAAAAATCATTGTTTGTGAACAGCCCTAATTTCTACTATAGTAGAAATGTCTATTAGACATCTCAAGATGACATGCCCCAAATTGATCGCCCTGTATTCTCCCCAGTAATCTGCTACTCTTGCAGTCTTTCCTTCTTTGACCATATCAACACTCAGGCCTAATACCTTGGCATCGTCTCTACTTTTCATGTTCCATCTCTAACCTGCTAGCAAAATCCCATTGGCTGGCCTTCAAAATATATAGAGGATTTTACCTCTCCTCAATGCTCCTACCCTGATCCAGGCTGCCATTTCCTTTCTCCTGAATTCTGCAGTAGCTCCCGGCTGATCTTCATCTTCTGGTTCTTGCTGCCTTCAGTTTCTTCTCAACACAACAGCTAGAGAGATACAGTTAAAATGTAAATCAAAGCATGTGTAACTCATGAAGTCCTGCATGGCCTGGCTCTCTATTCCCTCTCTGATCTCATCGTCTACAACCTTCCCCTTGCTCAGTGTGTGTCAGCCACACTAGCCCTCTTTCCTATTTTTTCCTACCCTCTGAGCATTCTTTTGCCTCACTCGTTATTTCCTCTGCCTGAATTTTTTTGTTGTTTTGACATTTATCCACATGCTCACTTCTAATTTCCTCAAAACCTCTACTTAGATGTTTCCATCTTGGTGAGTACTTCACTGGTCACCCTCTGAATTTTAAAATTTAATCTCTTTCTACTGACTCTTGAAGTATTCCTTTTCCCTTGTTTTTTATTTTATCTTCTTGGCTGTTAAGCATCTTATAGTGTGTATCTTATTTATTTGGCTTGTTTTTAGTATCCTCTGAATATAACTCCACACAGGCATATAGTGTTTTCTTTGTTTCAGAGTTAGAACAGTGTCTGGCACATAAGAAAGTATGTACTGATTAGGTATTGAATAAATAGATTAAGTTGGGACCATCTTGAACCTAACAAGATTGGGACTTGGAGTCAAGCTTGTTTTGAGACTCTTGGTATCAGCTTGAAAAGATCCACTTGGTACGTGGCCAACTCCTCTGGCATTGAGGATTTTTGTGGCTTGGTAATGTAGTTTACTCGGGGCTAAGTATGAACCCTATCAGCTTCAGAGTTAGGCCATTAGGGTCAAGTTTACCAGTGCCTTCATTTGTGAGGATGATGCTTAGCAGCCAGGAGGAGTAATGAACATGTGCTCACTGCAGACAGCTCCTTCCCCAATCAAGAGGGTTCACATTCAATAAAGCGATCTTAAAAATGGATGTGCCACTCTTAAGCAGCCCATCATAATGAATATTATTAAGCTGAAAGATTCTTGAGTAATGGAATATAGTTGAAAATATTTTCTTGCTGCAAATGTAAATTGTCATAGATTTGTGAACTTTTACATCAGTTTTGACCTCTGTTGGTTGTATTAAAAGTATGTGTTGAGGTTTACTTAGGCAGTACTGAGGTTACTGCACCCTTCAAAGTAGGAAATGTGTGTCACTCAGTTTCCTCCAATATTATGCCTGTCAGTGCAAAGCTTTTTCTATCCACTGTAATAGAATTAGATGTCATATGTGATAGCTGAAATAACATACGTATTTTCTCTATATAACCATTTTTGTAGTTTCTAAGCTTGGCTAGATAATTTTTGTAATACATTTCTGCAAAATGAGAGAGATCTGTAAAAAAACTTTAGTATTGAGGGTAATTAATGACAGGTATATCTTGTTACAATTTAAAGAGGATAAATAGCTCTATTTTATAAAAGTTTAGTTTGACTTGTTTTTTCCCCAGTAAATACTTATAGAACATCTATTATATGTCAGACAACTTGTTACCTATTCCTTTGAGTAATAGGAATCCCCATGAAATGGGTGAGAATAATTGCAATACTTACTTCATATAGTTGTTCAGAGTATTAAATTAGGTGATTGATTGGAAATGAACTATACAAGATAGTGATAGGAGAGGATCATATATATATACTTTTTTTCTTTAAAAACACTGTAGTACTTTGTGACAGGCAATTTATAAGTCTTTTATAAATATTAACTTAATTCATTTTTCTTTGTTTTCAATTACTTTTATTTTTTAAAATTATACTTAAAATTCTGGGATACATGTGCAGAATGTGCAGGGTTTTTACATAGGTATACATGTGCCATGGTGGTTTGCTGCTCCCATCAACCTGTCATCTGCATTAGGTATTTCTCCTAATGCTATCCCTCCCCTTGCTCACCACCCCCTGACAGGCCCCGGTGTGTGATGTTCCCCTCCCTGTACCCATGTGTTCTTACTCTTCAATTCTCACTTATGAGTGAGAGCATGCGCTGTTCGGTTTTCTGTTCTTGTGTTAGTTCGCTGAGAGTGATGGTTTCCAGCTTCATCCATGTTCCTACAAAGGACATGAACTCATTCTTTTTTATGGCTGCATAGTATTCCATGGTGTATATGTGCCACATTTTCTTTATGCAGTCTAACATTGATGGGCATTTGGGTTGGTTCCAAGTCTTTGCTATCGTGAATAGTGCCGCAATAAACGTGCATGTGCATGTGTCTTTATAGTGGAATGATTTATAATCCTTTGGGTGTATACCCAGCAGTGGGATTGCTGGGTCAAATGGTATTTCTAGTTCTAGATCCTTGAGGAATTGCCACACTGTCCTCCATAATGGTTGAACTAATTTACACACCCACCAACAATGTAAAAGCATTCCTATTTCTCCACATCCTCTTCAGCATCTGTTGTTTCCTGACTTTTTAATGATCTCCATTCTAACTGGTGTGAGATGCTATCTCATTGTGGTTTTGATTTGGATTTCTCTGATGATCAGTGATGATGAGCTCTTTTTCATATATTTGTTGGCTGTAAAAATGTCTTCTTTTGAAAAATGTCTGTTCATATCCTTTGTCCACTTTTTGATGAAGTTGTTTTTATTCCTTGTAAATTTGTTTAAGTTCCTTGTAGATTCTTGATATTAGACCTTTGTCGGGTGAATAGATTGCAAAAATTTTCTCCCATTCTGTAGGTTCCCTGTTCACTCTGATGATAGTTTCTTTTGCTGTGCAGAAGCTCTTCAGTTTAATTAGATCCCATTTGTCAATTTGGGCTTTTGTTGCCATTGCTTTTGGTGTTTTAGTCATGAAGTCTTTGCCCATGCCTATGTCCTGAATGGTATTGCCTAGGTTTTCTTCAGGGTTTTTATGGCTTTAGGTCTTATGTTTAAATCTTTAATCCACCATGAGTTAATTTTTGTGCAAGGTATAAGGAAGGGGTCCCATTTCAGTTTTCT